TGCACCCCCCAAAAAGTTTTCAGTGAAACAAATGGCAGAGACATTTGCTACAATTAATAAAGGAATGCAATTACTTGATGGCGTGGATCAAAATTATGAGCGTTATGCCAAAGTTGACAGAATGATCCAAGATGCACTTGCTTGCTTCAGAGAAATTTATAATGAAAAGAAAAAGCAAACTGTGCAGTCTAAATTGGACATCTATTTCAAGAAGTCCCCCAGTGCTGTCTCCTCACGCCCCACCAGTGCTGCCTCTTCACTCCCTCAAGATGATCCAATTCCTTCAACCAGCAAATTTCCACAGTACATAAACCTGTCTGAAGAAAGCGACATTGATGACCCATCCAGCCCTGTCTCCTCCTCTGCTTCTTCCAGTTAATGTAGTCTCCATGTATAATTAGAAAATTATGGGGGCCCCTTGTGCATTCAGCTGACTACATTAAAGATAAGTGCTCAGTCACACTGTATCCATTCCTCATTATTTATTACTTTTACTGTACTGTACTGTATTTCATTGTAGATTTTTATTTAAAAAAAAAATGAAATTTTTTTTTTTAATTTTTTTATTTATTTTTATTTATTTTTTATCTATGTCGGACTTACGACCTGGATTTGGGTCCCTAACCCCGTCGTAAGTTGGGGAGCACCTGTATACAGTAGTAACATTACTTAGAAAGCCTCGAATCATATCAACCCCAAGGCTAACAATACATACTTTTTGGGGGACGACTGTACAGTACATTCAATAAACCAGGCATTTTGCAATATTCTCAGTAAATCATAGTGGTTGACTGAGCAGAAACAGGAAAGTTTAAAACACTCTTCAACTAGGTTGTGTGTCATAATTTCTCTACTCAAACATGGTTCCAGATTTAAATATTAAACACTGTACAAGTGGTTAGTTCACCAAATGAAGATGTTAGCTCATTTGTTAACAGTCATTGTTAGGTCTAACTGGTGGTTAACAGGGATTACAAGGTAAACTTATAAAAAATTTCACACAGGATCTTGTTTAGCACCTCATAAATGCCATACAAATAATTTCTAAAAATATGATTGGTACAACTACTATTACAGTACAGTACAGTATAGTCTGGATTTACGCGGTCAATTGAACCCGTGGAGGTCCGCGTAAAACGAGAAACGAAATAACAGAACATATGGAATTAATTGAAATAGAGACTGGGCCGACCGCCAGACTACCCTTTTTACGACACAATATGTACCGTATATACAGTACTCGTCTATAACCCCCCTTCGTATATAGGTCGACCCCGATTTTTTGACCAAGAAATTGTTAATTTATGATATTCCTCGTTTATAGGTCGACCCAAGTTTTTGAGGGTAAAGGAACAACAAAACCTTCAGAGAAACACTACGTCCTATAAACTTGTTTACCATTTATTATTACGACACTTCACACTGAAACGCGGGTAGTTTCAACAAAAATATTGTATATTTCCATTCAAGTATGTATTCAAGTCAATTAGGAGGGAATATTATTGTAATACAATAGTTTTTTTAACTGAAAACCATTCGAAAAGTGATTACGGTAACATATTTTGAACGAAAGAAAGCAAAAGTCATTGTTTTCGTCACAATTTTATCCCACTTTCCACTGTAATACGTACGTCATTTCAGCAAAAAATATTACATTTCCGTGAATGTATTATATCAAGCACAGTATGAATAGAGTATCACTAATATAACAGTATTTTAACCGAAAACTAATAAAAACACGAGTAACATATCTTGAACATCGGAAGGTTTGGTAAAGTCTTTTGTTTTCATGTAGTTTATCCTAATTTACATTAAAATACATCACGTTTCAGCAAAACTACTATTTATTTCTGAGAATATGGAAATGTAATATTTTTGCTGAAATGACTTATGTATTATAGTGGAAAGTGGGATAAAATCGTGACAAAAACAATGACTTTCGCTTTCTTTCGTTGAAAAGATGTTACCGTAATCGCCTTTCGAATGGTTTTCAGTTAAAAACTGTTGTATTACAATAATATTCTATCCTAATTCATTTGTGATGTAACAGTTTTTTAACTGAAAACGATTTGAAAAACACGTGTACCGTCTAGCTGATACGGCAGAGCCCTGGTCGCGGAGGCTTTGTGTTTGCTTGGGCCCTTCTTAAGCAGCTTTTAATTTTAGCGTACGTTGAAATTGTGTTTACCGGTATATTCTATTTTCTTGCTTCTTATTTTCCAGAAATATGACAAGTTTGTATATAATACAATGTTACGGTACTTTTAATTTACAAGTATTCATTTTTAAAAATACAGAAGACACCAAACAAATACCAGTCCTACGGTTATTTGCGTGACTCTCCCGCCAAAAAAGACCAAACAGCTGGTACTCTCTCCCTCAGCCCTACCAAAAATAGCCCAACGACATCTTTCTTAATTATTCTCTTCCAATTTCTCACTTTAACTGGTATTTTTTACTTCATATTGCCTACATCAGATAAACTACAGTAATTGAGGTTAGACACTGTTATAAATTTGATTACCGGGTCCTGGCAGGTGCCGTTAGAACCACCTGACCCTACCAACAGTGTTGCAAGTCAGACAGCATTTTTTTAATCATCCATGTGCACGAGAAAGGATGGAAGGATGAAGGCGGCATACAAATATGGCTTAAAAAAGTCTGAACTTTAGACCAGGGGAACTGCGCAAAGAAAAAAGTCTTCTTGTGTGGGATATGTTTCGGTCACATCTTGTTGACAGTGTTACTGCTGGGATTAGGAAGGAAAACACTGATACAGCTGTGATTCCTGGTGGATTAACAAGTCTTGTCCAACCACTGGATGTTTCCATAAACAAACCATTTAAAGATGCGGTAAAAGTGAAGTGGAACAACTGGATGATAGAAGGCGATAAGACATACACAAAGGGAGGCAACATCCAAGCTCTATCACTAGCAACATTATGTGAATGGATTGTAGAGGCCTGGGATGCAATCAGACCAGAAATTGTGGTGAAATCTTTTAAGAAATGTGGGATTTCGAATGCTCTTGATGGAACAGAAGACGACTTGTTGTGGGATTATGAGGCTAATGAGAGCGTGAATGAGGATGAAGATATTGATGATCCTATGGCTGATGATGGTGTTGATCCATATGACGATGCTGTTCAAGGAGAGGACTGGGAGGAGCTGTTTGGTGCTGCAGATGATGACAAGGAAAATGATTTTGATGGATTTTAATGAAAATATTCAGAAATATGGTATCGTAGTATTTATTCAAGTCAATTAGGATAGAATATTATTGTAATACAACAGTTTTTAACTGAAAACCATTCGAAAAGCGATTACGGCAAAATCTTTTGAACGACGAAAGAAAGTGAAAGTCATTGTTTTCGTCACAATTTTATCCCACTTTCCACTGTAATACGTACGTCATTTCAGCAAAAATATTACATTTCCATATTTATTTCTGAGAATATATTCATTCAGGCACAGTTAAGGTAAAATATACTTGTGATGTAATATTTTAATGAAAATATTTATAAATAAGGTATCGTATTTTTCTTTTGTTTCAAATTTAATTAACAAAGATTGATGTTTCAAATTTAATTTAAAAAAATTTATGTATCCATAAATAAACTTTTAAAAATGAATACTTTATGTTTTACATACTCCTGTGCATACCATACCATACCATGCATTTGGCTACTTTGGGCTTGCTATGATGACGCAAGAGATCTACCCTGGCAACTGTACCGACACTCACAGCGGGTGGTGAGTTGGTGCGTCGTTTCCATTGTTTACTGGTAGTTACTGGTAAATATTTTTCAACCTAACGAAACTATTACCCGTATAGAGGTCGACCCCCAACTTTTTGCCAAAAAATTTGGTCTTAAGAACTCGTGCTATACACGGGTATATACGGTAAGTTGTAGTAAAAATAACATCTTAATTTTATGATGGCATGCACACACAATTAATATTTAAGAGAAATACTGTACAGTCGCCGGGTTAATGTCCGTTCATATAATGGACTCAACTCCCCCCCCCCTCTTCCCACGCTAGCTGGCTCCCTCCCTCCCTACCCACCCACCACCTTCCCGAGAAATGTTTGGGGAAAAAGACTAGGCTTACATGTTTAGTAATAAATAATACCTCACACTAAAGTTAGGAGAATATAATTTACATTGCTGGGTTCCTTGTAAGATAGCGAATAATTTGAATATAAACGTCATATATTTTGCACAAAAGATAAAATTTTTGCTTTCTAATAAATTTCTTAAATTAGATCTAAAATTTGTATGTCTAATGCAAATTTTAGCTTGTTTATATTCAAATTAATCACTATCTTATAAGAATTCCAGAAATGTAAATTATATTCTGGCCGGGTAATTTCTATGAATTTTATGAGCTAAAAACAAAAATCTCAAGTATAAATAAACAAATTATACGTCACCAGACACAATACGGCCGTTGTAGTAAAAATAACATCTTAATTTTATGACGGTATGCACACACAATTAATATTTAAGAGAAATATCAATAATATTAGGTTTTTTAACACTTACGTTAGTAGAAGAGATGGCTGGGCACTCGGGGATGGGGGGTTGGTTCCGAGGCAGAGGGCAGATTATTGGCCCTCACCTGTATCACTTGTATCACCTGTATCATTATCCACCACAGAGGCTTGCAGGGCCTCTTTGTCAAACCCCTCAAAGTCCATATCCTCACTATCACTATCACTGGCTTGGGCTGGCTGTGGTGGGTGGCGGGTGAAGAACTCGGTAATGTTTTGTTGACTGGGCGACCTAGTGCGCACCCTGCCTGCGCCGCTTCCCGCGTAAATGATGGAATGTACCGCGTAACTAATAATTGCCAGTCTGGCCAGGTGCCGCGTAAATGACCAAACGCGTAAAGGAAATCCGCTTAAATCCAGACTATACTGTACTTGGTACTGTTACTGTAGTGGGAAGACCTGATTCTGATAAAATGGCTGTACAGGGTAAGTAAAATGATGATGATGAGGACACCAATACAGAAAATGAAAGTATATTTTAGAATACAAAGGATATCTGGAGATATAGTATACAGTTCTCTGATAAACAAAATACCGTACAGGAATATAAAAACTAAAAACAGAAAAAATCTAATTTCTTAACAAAGATATAAAATACAGAATCAATGAACATAAGAAAAGCTGCAAGAGCAATTCAGACATCATAAACAAATGATCATGACATATTGGTCATCATGAGACATGCTTGAGTGATACAGAATAACAAAACAATCTTATACTGGTGGTATCACATCCCTGACATGATGTGCTTGTAGTCTTTTTGGTCACTTTGCATCTTCTTGAAAACTGCAAACTTCTGGTCATGATATCTGAAGAAACAAGTACAGTACTGTACATGGCATAAATTCTTAGATTACCAGAGTAATAATAGACTAGAAATTCTGTTTCTCTGAAATTTTTATAGTAATATACATTCTTAATGGACTGCACCACTGAATAATGTACAAAAATATTCACCTTACTTGTTTGCTTTATAAAAAATCATAAGATATGAAATCACTTGATGGGTTATCTCAAGCTTATAAAATCAGCTAATGGACTTGCTGGGTTAATCCTCTTTGAACCCCATCAAACCTTCACATACACAATAAACTGTGCTGTATACCATTTGCTTCACTTCCTCATAGATTATATAATTACTGTACCGGTAATCTATACCGTACAACTTATCTAGTTAAAAAAAAATCAGTAAATACACATGTACTGTATACTGTACATGAATGTGGTCAAAATACTTGGAAAATATTAAAGTTAATTAACCATATTTTCATTTGAAAAAAAGGAAAACTCACCTTTTCACATCTTTCCGAGGTTCAAATGTACGTGCTTTCCCCCCCATTGCCACAGCTGCAGCAGTGAGGTCAGGATAGTCACCAGATGCTGTTGCCGCAAGAATGCTGGCTCCAAGTAATACTGATTGCTGTTCTTGAGGAATCAGTACAGGAACTCCTGTCAGAAATTGTGCGTTTATTAATTAACTTTCCACAAATCATAAATATCGTAAGTACTGTACAGTACTGTACTGTATCCTATATCAAACAGTGTTTTTCCATTTGGCAAGCCATTAATTTTTTTAAGATAATTTGAATAAGCAATTATACAGCATAATTAAACCCTTGTGTACAGGGTCCCCTCTGTGCCAAATAAAATCACCAGGCACTAGTCAAATACAGTAGAATATTACAAGTGGCATCCCCACACTGAAGGGGTTAACACTTCATGTAAAAGGGGAACAACTTACAGTATCTGACTATTATATGATAGATGAGAGAATACAGTAATAGTGCAAGGAAACTTCAGGGTAATATAGAAGCAGTGAGATGTAAAGGAGGTTATAATAGGTGATGGGTTGTGGAAAGTAAATGTAGCTAAGAGAATTAAAGGGAAGCCTGTGAGGAAATAATCACACATAAACAAGTGCAAAGTGGAAGGGGTAGAAGAAGAATGGGCAATGCAGCCGAGGCGAATGAGTAAAAGAAACAAGAAAATAAAAGTCTAAGATAATAGATAGCTGTACTACAGTACTTAAAAAAAATATATGTAAATAAAATAAGGAGGGGCCAGTTTTAAGTGATGAGTAATAAAAGTAAGGGTGTATGAAGGTTAAGAGAAATTTGAAGAGAGTGGTGCCACAATACAAAAGAGGAGCAGCTGAAAGATGGAAGTAAGGTTATCAAAGTTCTGAAAAAGATTTAGAAGCTATATTGGGAGAAGGTGAATGGGGTGAGAAATTCAAGAGAATGTGTGGCTATGGCATCTAAGATGGAAGGTAGACATTGTAGTAAAAAGATGAAGTGAAAAGGAGATGGAAAGAACATTTTGACCACCCGTAATAGTAACTGCTGAATGTAACTTATTTTTTATTATAAATTTTACTTATCTGAATTGTTATTATTATTACATTTTCGCCCACCAGGCCCCAATGTGGGTCAATGACCTATGCCCGGGTGGGCTAATCCCAGTCAAAAAAAAAAAAAAAAAAAAAAAAAAATGAAAGAAAAAAAAGAAGGAAGAAGTGAGATGATGATGTTTGCATTGTGAAGGGTAAGACACCAGGTGTAAATGTAGTCCTAGAAATGGTATGGATGGAAGGAAAAAATTATACAATGGAAGACAAGTGTATAAGTTATAACAGAGGAACAGTCAGGGCATATAGGGAAGGGTGCTAAGAGTTGTTAATTACTACCAGGTAAGTGAATACCTGTAGTACTGTACAGTGACTCATTACTAAACACTGTGGCCAAGGAAACAACTGTGGGTTCAGTAAAGGAAGAGAATGCATGGATCAGGTATTTGTGTTCTGGAATATGAATGAAAAATACCTAGCAATAGAGGAGAATGTTTGTACACTTTTAGATCTGGAAAAAGCATATGTTAGACCTGATAGAAGAGCCATGTGGAAAGTACTACCTGTACAGTATATAAAAAATTAAGGGTAACCTGGGAAACTGCTAAATACTGTTCAAAGGTTTGTAAATGTACTGTAAGTTGAAATACTGATTAAATGACATAAAACAAGGAATGTGAAAGGTTGTGTAAGGAACTTCATCCTGAGGATATACTATAATTATTATTTTCTTTTGAAATTCACCTTGTCAGGTTAACAGGAATGTAGCACTGTATTAATTTTCATGAAACCACACTGAGTGATGCGCTGTGTAACGGGACCAAATCATACAAAGGGAAATCATCTTTGACACTGAAAAATAATATGAATGTCATCATTACAGTATTAAATTTTGGGAAAAAGACTAATGACACGGTTAGTTTTGATTGATTACTTTTCATTTCAAAGACCGATTGAAATTTTAAATACATATAATATCACTTAGGCCAATTCTACTTGGAGATTATGTACTGGGTTTTTATTCATGAATTTTCTCAATAAATTCTTCAAAACAGAAGTCTTTAGTACTGAACTAATAAGTACAAATATGGGATCCCTTATCCTGAAAGCCTGGAGCCTGAGGAGGTCTGGATTTCAGGGCCTAAAATGTGTCTACAGTACTGTACACTATACCTGTAGATGGGTCAATATACCATCAAACCCCCCAAAATTCTAACAAAAGATCTGTCAACGGTTTTTGGCCCTACTGGGTGTAGTGAAAGACAGAAAAAAAGTCTACCAAAATCCGACCACCGGAAGTGGGTTAAAACTGAGTCAGTTCCAAGATGGCCTCCACCGGCCCTGAAAATCAGGAAAGCGGCTGTAACTCCCTTATCATTTGTAGAACAATAATTTTTATATCTAACCAAGGGTTTTAAGGGTCAAGGAATTCATTGGTGCCAATAAAATTTCAATCCGACCAATCAGACCCTTAAGTTAAAGATTACGGCCAACAATCATGAATGAAGGCACAAATACCAATAACTCCCATGTTATTTCACCTGAAAAGCAGTTTTAGGGCCAAAGAATGTAAATATCCATTTTTTAGAGTAAATTTTATTGACATGTTTCAGAATAATGTATTTCAGAGAGTATACTGAAATGATTCATTGAAAAATCTTATACAGTCTCTACTCGACTTATGACGGGGTTCCGTCCTGACGACAAGGTCGTAAGTCGAAAAGGCGAAAATAATATATAGAAAATCTAAAATGGGTGTCTCTTTTTCTTTTCAGCACCATGAGAACTCTCACTTTTATGCTTGCCAGCCATTTTAAAGGGAATTACAAACGAAAATTTTGTCAGTACACAGAGCGATCACTGTCGGGACTCGAAAATACGTAATGTGAAAAATATTTTATACGACCGTGGCCGTCGTATGTCTGGGTTATGGTAAGTCGAATATGTTGTAGGTCGATGAGAGACTGTACATACTAAATGCAATAGTGTAGTAAAAAAAAAAAAAAAACTCACTCTTTCACCATCTCAGTTTAGTCCTCAAAACTGTCCTCTAGTTACTCTGAAAGCTGGTTGTGCAGATTGCCACAGGATGTAAGTTGGCATAATCCACATGTAGAAGTATACATGGAAGCCCATATCTTCTGCAACTGCAACGGGGGGTGCTGCAACCAGTTGCGTAATTGCAATGTACCATTTCAATAAAGTATCAGGTGTAGCATTCATATCAGACATTATGGGTACAAGTTAATTGTGTTTAAGTCTCCAAGCTCAGTTCAAAGGATCAATATCACTCTCCATCCCCATCCATGTCATGTTCTGAAAGTACACCCTGAGACAATGGAATTTGGTGGAAGACTCAGTTGGGGGAAGACGTACAGGCATAACAAATGATTTTGCAGAGACGACTTTCTTAGTGAGAATGTCATAATGCAAGGCTGCCAGAGACCATGTGCTTTTCCCACCAAACATAACTGCCATCGCTTGGCTGCCGAGATTTTCTATGTCAGTACGGTTCTTGCCTGGTAAAAAGAATGCATTTGCACAGGATTGGAGGACTGGATCACCTTTCACAAGTTTTTGGAAGGCTGATTTCTTTCCAACACCATAAACACGGGACATTGAATCATATCCTGTGAAAGCATGAAGAAATAACAATTGTGTACACAACTAACTGCCAAGAACATGCTTTATGCAATTGATGTTGTACACTTTTGAAATGCCTCTTGACTGACTGTCCGATGTAAAATACAGTGGTTTGCCATCTGCTGTGGCGTAATGGAGAAGAAGAATTAACAAGTCAGTGTCCTCTCCAATCAGCGTGATGGAAAGTGCATATGCAGTGTTAACTGTGGCTTTAGTATGATGTCCACATCGGCGTCCCCTTCTGCCTGAATGACCGTACAGCCCACTCTCCTCAGTTCATCACTTATTAAGCTGATTGGTAGTTGCTTGTTAGTTCCCCTTGAAAAGAATTCTTCCTGCTTCCCTTCAAATTCGTTTTTTTTCACTGGTGAAGTTCAAAACCAGATAATTGATGGTTTGTTTCCATCTCTGATATGCGTTATCCTTTATCGAGGGACCTGCCCCATACCCGTCAAACACAGCAGTTACTGCCCCATAGTGCTTACTTGTAAAGTCAACATATACCTTGGCTAATTTACCATAGGTATCTCCCCTCCTCCACTTCAGCTTGCGTATTAAGGAGCCTCCGTCAAGCACACACCTTTCAGTCTTCGGGATAGCATCTGATTTCGCTTCACTTGATGGTATCTTGTTACAATGGTCATCGATGGCTTGGGCTAGTTGAGGTTTGTCGGTCTTTCTCAAGATATTTTTGTCCTCAAAAAGGGATGACGGGTACGGACTCAGCTCATATCTCATCACCTCCTCTAGAGACAGATGTCCTGTCCTGGACACTACAGGAATTGCTGGAACAGTAGGCCAGGATCAATGGTTCTGTCAGGAGTAACCTTGACAGCAGACGAATTTTCCCAGGGTCTTGGCTTTGTCTTTCCTCTTGAAAGAGAAGGAAAATACAGACTGTCCAATCATTCTGTTGATGATGTTCCTTTCAACGGATTCGTATTCATACACATTGACGTCTTCTTTCACCACCATACCATTGATATTTCTCAATGAGGGGTCAGAGGAGAAAGGTGAACATGAATCAGCTTTGCGCTTATCTTCGAAAGGTCTGATGCGTCTCTTTTAATTCTGGCATCACTTGAATCTTTGTGTTGTTCACTTGTGGTGTATGTGAGATCATTGAATTCCTGCATGGTAGTGTTGAACTCAGACATTATGGGGGCTGACATTGTCCACAATACTCACTGTTTTTCCATTATCTTACTGCCATGAGTCAAGCCACCTGTGCTTTTTAGTGACTTCATAAGTGTATAAGTGTTTACTCGATGAAAGAATGTCAAAATAACTAATATTTAAAGAAGAAAAAATGAAGCAAAAACCACTGACCTATATCAAATCGTTTGGGAGTGTTAGCCGCCATATTGGATATACGGATTTGTTGGACCAAGTCATAAATCCATTGGCACCAATGAATTCGTTGACCCTTAAAACCCAAGGTTAGATACAAAAATTATTGTTCTACTCCTAATAATATGGAAGTTACAGCTGCCTTCCTGATTTTCAAGGTCAGCGGCGGCCAACTTAGAAATGACCCAGTTTTGACCCACTTCCAGTGGTCAGATTTTGGTAGACCACTTTTCTGTCGTTTACAACACCCAGTAGGTCAAACAAACACTGAAAACTCTTTTGTTAGAATTTTTTGAGGGTTAGGGTGGGTTTTTTTCATAAATTGACCCACCTACTGCATCAAATAAAGAAAATGTTGCAGAAGTAAGTACTGTATATAGAAAATATAATTCATGTAAACATATCTTGAACCTTAATTTGTTTTGGATGTTTTTGGTTTGTCTGTCTGGACAATTCTCTGAAATGAAGCTCCTTTTTTCCTGCCAACATATAAGTTCCTCTGTAATGCCTATCAACTCATAAAGAGGACTTCCTGCACTCATTTTTTTGACATGATTTCATATAACTAGGGCTAAAAATGTACTATAATCACCCGGAAATGCCTGTTTACATAAGCTGCTCTCTTACTTGAAGTAGCATCACCAAAACATAGTGGCAGCTCAGAGAACTGTTAGTGTATGTGTATCTGAAGGGCCAGAGCTGTAGATAGAGAGAGTTTGGCCAACCAAGTGCCATGTTGTTACTTAGCAGGTCGGAAATTCTCTCAGGTTCTCTCCCACAAAAGTTTATAAATACAGTATGCTTATCCAATTGTAAACATGTATGAAAATTTTACTGAATAAACAGCATTCTCATCATCCTTTACAGTACGAACACAAACTTCTTCATCAGCCGAGTAACAACATGGTGCTCACATGTCACCGAGTTGACTGAACTCTCTCTGTCTATAGCTCTGTGAAGGGCACATTGATAGCACCAACAAAACAAAGTGGCAGCTCATTGAACTACTAGTGAGTGCACAGTATTTCAAATTCCTACAGATAGGGGGGATGCTGGATAAGTGATTCCATGCATGTACACATGTTAAAAACCTACATACTGTATATGGTATCTGAGCTGTGTGTTCAAGACTTTCAACTTTTAACAGTAAAAGCTTACAATAAAATTTTTTCATATGTTCTGAGTATTAATGGAGTTTTGATTTTGAAACTTGATGGTGTGGTGATGGTCAGTAACCAACCATCACCATTATTTTATAGCCATTAAAACAAGTGGAAATACTGTATTCTACCTCCAATCTAATGTGAATGTCCACATAAGTACTGGACAACATAAAAGTTATTTCACATAATGAAACAATACAATTTACAGTGACTTATTTATATATACTTTTTTTTCACATATGTATTCAACATCTAGGAGTAACGAATACACAAGGAGAAAATTTAGTAAATGAATTGCAAATCTGTAAAACAAGAGCTACATTATACTTTAAATGGATTACTGTACTGTACTACCCTAAACACAAATATCTTTACACAGTATTTACTAACCAAGGGCATCAGCATGAGTTTGGATGAAGAGGGAGGAATTAGAGAGTCCGCCACACATGAGCACAGAGGTAATGTTGTGACCGCATGTTGTTAGCTGCTCTATAATTTGTCGCGTTCCATACTACCAGTTGCAATATAGAGAAACATGCAGTTAATTAACACTCAAAAATGCAAATACTGTAATACTGTTAGTAGTAATACTAGCTTCAACATAAAAGAAATAGTAATTACAGTACTGTACCTTATAAAATGCAGCAAATCCTTGATAAATCGGAATTTGATAACTCGTAATTTGATATAACTCAGAGTGGCAGTAAAATAGTTAACTATAAATAATTTTTTATATAACTCGCAATTTTCCAAGTTATGATGACGTAATCTCGGAAAGGTGTAGCATGTGGTACCTGGTCTGCCGCTCATTTACTTGTCGGTCAGCCTAACGAGAGAATATCCATCCGCAGTCGCTCTACTTAATTTCTTTATTTTCACTATGTGTGCAAAGTGTTATTCAACACTCGTAGTTATGGCTTCTGCACCATCAACAAGGCCTAATAGGAGGGGAATGAAGTTGAAACCCCCTAGTCCTCAAGAAAAGATGAAAGTCTTAGAGATGGTGAATGCTGAGGCAGCCATGCATTATGTGTGTGATTAGTCCAACATCAAAGATTAAATGAATAATATCATTTAAAGGAATATGTAACCAAGTTAATCTTCAGTTGGTGCTGCAAGTGCTTACAGTACTCTACTGTAGTGCAATGAGCTCCCCATCACCTCTTTAGCCTACCACATGGCACCACAAACTTGAATTACATTCATCCTTTGCCTGCAGTGCTGGCAAGTTTTAATTTTTGTTCAAGTTTTCTGATTATGGGAGGTCATTTTAGCCAAGAAGTTTGGTATTTAGGTGGGAGGCAAGGTTTTATTATGAAAACCGAAAAAGACAAAGGAATCAAAAGACCGGGAAGAAAGTGCCTTCATAACTTGGATTGGTTAGAGCCCTGTATATTCTGAGTTATCAAGGGTTTACTGTAAATGAAACTCAGTCCTCCAGAAGAGAATTAAAAGTTTTAAAGGGAATATTGTCTGTCCTTCGAACTTCCATCAGGTGGTGCATGATCGTCCAGAAACAAAAGTGAAACTCATTAAGGACCTTGAAACAATGGAGTGACAAATTTTCTGCACACTATAATGACTACAACCCTGCTGACTCTGCAGGTCCCTCAGCTAAAGCCAGCCCATGTGGGTTTCAAATGTTCAGCATAACTCCTGTACAATGGTCTCCCCTTTCAAGATAGAACAAATATAATTATTATTATACCAAATGTGATACAAGTAACATGAAAAAGATTGTAAAAACAAGTTATTTGGAAAATAAAATAAAATATCTCCTAGGCATGGATTAAACAACAGTAAAGAACAATAACTACCCAAAGTTGTCAGAATGGAACCAACATGACACACATCCACATGACTCATCTTTATACTGTATTTAAATTTTACCAAGTTTCATAAACTTCAATTTAAAATTTCAGGGGTGATTTTATAAATTTGATTGTGGACAGTCAAATACACACACACCAAGGGCTATATATCCTCATCTATGTCAAGGGGATGAAAAAAGGTTGAACCCCTTCAACCTAACCAACCAAAGGGTCAATTTTCTTTTTCAGGTTGTACAACTGGGAAGTTAAAAAATTTTGACAACCTTTTCAGTCCTGTTATGAGGCAAAATTCACAATTTTCCTTAGTCACTGATTTCAACAACTGTTATCAATTTCTTTTATTCTATCTCGGACACAAAGCAAGAAATTCAAAACGGCTACACAATTAACTCTTTCGACAATCATGAATTACACAGGATCCATACCGGTAGTACTTTTACATAAATCTGTTTCCACTGAAAATTATTCTAGCCCTTCCAAAACCTGCAAACCACCATGACAGTCTTTGCTCACCATCACATAGGCTGCCAAGAAAGCCTGAAGAACATGTTCTGCTCTAAGCATACTGGCCAAGTTTACCAATAAGCTCTTGACCCTTAATATGTCCTGAAGAATGCCAGTAGGAGATGTAACTTGTTTATATATCCCTACTTGCTTAGAAGCCATTAAAGGTGCCCTCCCTTTCTATGATTCATTAAGGTAAATGAACTCTACAAATGGAAGGCCTAGCACAGTTCAAAAAGATCTAGGTACTGTATACAGTACTGTACCTGTATATGATAATTTTCTCAAATTTGCCATTAAACTCTGTCCTGGTGGTATCAGTTCTGCTGGAGAATTTGAAACTTTTACATCTGCTGAAATTACTTACTATAATATGAAAAATAGGAGAACTTTATCAAATAATGGTTGGTGAATTATACAGCATACAGTCAATTTATGGTGGGTTCAGTAACAAAACCAGTCTCTGAAATAAAAGAGGTTCATGACAGGTGAAATATGCAAAATCAATGCAGATGTCTGCGTTGGCACTTTCCCAGGAGAACTCTTAACAGTCCACTTATCATTCACTGGGATTCTGAAATCTTTTGCAATTAAAAACAAAATCATATTGCAGAAATTATAAGTAAACAACTTATAATGACTCAGTGAGAGAAATGTTGAGTACAGAAATTACTTTCTCTTCATAGTAGGGGGTCCCCGGGTTACTAACAAGTTCCGTTCCTGAAGACGTTCTCAAGTCGGAAATGTACGTAAGTGGAAACATATACCCTATGTGCACTATAGCATAGCGTAAGTCCTTTTATGCATCTCAAATTACTTATTTAAGAGAAAAGAAGAAATTGAATGACAAAATACAATAAAGGAAACTAAAATTTTAAGTTTAATACTTACACTGAAACCTGGGGCTGGCTTGCATGTAGAGATGGGCATTTGTAGGAATGACAAGAGGCTTTATTGGGATGAAATTGAAGATGGTGATGATGATGATGATGTAGATGTTAATAGGATTAGTTCTGGAGAATCTGCTAAGGAGGAGAGAACTGGTTGTGGAGTTGCTGGGAGTTGTTCTGTAGATGCTGCAGAGGTTGATGGAACCGGTTTATAGATGCTGCAGAGGTTGATGGAACTGGTTCTGTAGATACTGCAGAGGTTGACGAGACCAGTTCTGTAGATGCTGCAGAGGTTGATGGAACCGGTTCTGTAGATACTGCAGAGGTTGATGAGACCGGTTCTGTAGATGCTGCAGAGGTTGATGGAACTGATTCTGTAGATGCTGCAGAGGTTGATGGAACTGGTTCTGTAGATGCTGCAGAGGTTGATGGGACCGGTTCTGTAGATGCTGCAGAGGTTGATGGAACTGGTTCTGTAGATGCTGCAGAGGTTATTGGGACCAGTTCTGTAGATGCTGCAGGGGTTGATGGAACTGGTTCTGTAGATGCTGCAGAGGTTGATGGAACTGGTTCTGTAGATGCTGCAGAGGTTATTGGGACTGGTTTGGGCTACATTTCAACTTCTTAAAATACTTTTAAATGGATGGTGGAACTGAAACTTTCTTCTTTTCATCACAAATCTCTCTGTAGCATCATAAACATTCAGTAATACCTCTATGAATCTTGGTGAATCTTGCTGTCTTGGGATCTTGCTGTTCCGGCATCTTTGTGGTGTAGATTAATATAATCTTTTTCTTTTACATTTTTAATTTCTTTTTACTCTTACTTTTTTGCCCCCTAAGCCCCATTGTGGAGCGATGACCTGTGCCCGGGTGGGCTATTCCCCGTAAAAAAAAAAAAACTGCTTTCTTTTATCTAAGCCCATGAATCTGCAATGTTTTTCACAGCATCATAAATGTTGTACGACTTCCAAAATTCTTTTAAAGTCCTATCCTCTTTTTGTTCTGTTGCCCTGATAGGTTGAGCATATGTCTCAGGTAATATGCTCCCTTTGTCAGTAGGTTGTAAAACAGATTTTGTGTTTGGAGGCAGGAACACAACCTTATGTCTGGATGAACATAATCTAAAAATGACAGGTGCATTGTCAAGTACCAATAAAACTTTGAAGTACAATAATGCTTCACTTCAGGCACAAAATGATTTAGGTAACAGTCTTCAAAAAGAGCCAATGTCACCCAAACCTTTTTATTAGATTTCCAGATAACTGGAAGTGCTGCCTTGAATACATCCTTTGAAGCTCTAAGATTTTCTGACTGGTAGACAAGCAAAGGTTTTAGTTTATAGTCCCCTATAGCATTGCCCCTCAGCAGTAAGGTCAGCCTCTCCTTGGCAGCTTTATACCCTGGTACTGTTTTTTCTTGTTTTGAATGGTACGTGCATTTGGGCATCATTTTCCAAAATAAACCAGTCTCATAGATATTAAAAACTTGCTCAGCACAATAATCCCCTTCTTCAATTATTTTAGCTAAAGCAGCAGGAAATTCACTAGCTACAGCTGCATCTGCACTCGCTGCATCACCTTGCACTTTAATGTTATGTAAATTTGCCCTTGCCTTGTACCAATTAAACCAGCCCCTACAAGCGACAAAATCTTGCCCATCACTTTCACCACCACGTTTAGCCTGCAAGTCACCGTGCAAGCTTCTCACTTTTTCCTGAGTCAAGGCTAGACTTAAAGAGGCAAATGCTGTTGATTTTAATCTTCTACCCATATCACTAACAGTCTTTCCATTTCAATTAACAATCCACTTCTTTGTTTTGTTGTATCAGTTAAGTGCATTGGTGTAGATCATTTTACATGTTCAAGAACTTTCTGTGTGTCTGTCAAAATTGTTCCAACCGTTAACAGACTGAAGCCCAACGCTTTCCCAATGACTGAAGGCGTTTCGCCTTTTTCTTTATGTTTAATTGTATCAACTTTCACTTCCATTGTATCTGTTTTCCTTTTCTTGGATGCACTAGGCTTGCATCAGGTTTGCATTTGGGAGTTATGATGAGGGCAGACAGAGTTAATAAGCAAAATACAACAGTTTGCACTTGATCACACATATTAATGCAGTGAAGGTAAAGTGTACTGACACTCCCCCAAGGTGTGTGGCTGGGTGACGCATCACTCCCCATGCACTGTTCCTCCTCACAAACTAGTTCTCGTACGTAAATACTATAAACCGGTTGTACTTATGTCGGATTCTTAAAATAATTGACCTTAAGGGACCTCATTCGTATCGGCGGGTGTCCGTAAGTTGGGGACCCCCTGAATACTGTATAATTCTGCATTCAAATTTAAAATGACATTCTGAATTATTTTTGCAACACTCCTAATCTAATATATGCATCCATAACCTCTTTTTAGTAGATATTTAAGATTAAAGGAATGGTTTAGGTCTTATGGATTTGGGATAAAGATACTGTCATGTACTTACTGCCAAAGCTTGAAGAATTTTTTATAAAAAATGCTGGGTAAAACCTAGACAACCATAGTTTTGCATACACATGCAAACACACAAAATTAAGTGTGCATATTTTATTCTAATACTTACTGCCAATGCTTGAAGAGTTGCAAGATACAACAAAGCCAAACTCCTTTCACTTGAATCTAGAGTAAGGCCACATATCTGTGAGAGATTAATCAAATTATTCAACTTATTATTTAAAACAATGTTTCCTTGATAAAATAAGTGTCATATAATATTCTCTAAATACAGTTGGGATAGCTACATATACTGTATTTTACTATATAAATAGAGTACAACAATCTTTTACATCCAATTCCCTGAACCTTCTTGACTCGCAGCACCCTATCTCACATAATCTTTGTCACTCCTTTCTTACCTTTCTTCTCACATCACTAACACATCAGTACAATTAAGTTTTTCTTGTTGCAAAAATCATAATTTCAATTTTCAACCTGCCCTCTTTTCAATAAACATTTCCTACACTTTACATACAGCTTGTGTGCAGTATCTTGAACTAACAAAGAAATTTACATGCATAAAAAATTTTGGATGACCCATTCTAATATCCATTCACACACAAACTTACACTGATGTATGCGAAATGCACAAAAAACATTAATGCCTCAGTAGAATTCAATATCATACCACTTGGATGCAAACTCCCTCACCTATCATCTGCCCTAATATTTGGTGTAATTTATACACTCTTATCTTTCCCCCTCAAATTCAGTTTATCACCTATTCATATCTATTACAGCATACATCAGTTCTCTATGGTTATTTACTACTACAGTAATAATAATTTTGAATTTCAAAATCCTCTCCATCCTGAATTACACTCTCATAGTCATACAAGTACTTATCTTTACCGTTTTACATTTGTTTACCTTTACTCATAAGCCATGTAATGATTGAAGCATATAGCACACCCAACAAATTATCAATCAAACAAAGATAAAAATTATATACCAGTACAATAAATATTCAAATTACTTCTTATGAACAAAAAAGCTGGTAAACACACCATTCCAACCATGGAAGGGTCTGCCAGAGGTGACCTGTTGCCATGGAAATCTGGATATAAGTGCAAGTCCTTGGTGAGAAATGTGGAACTACAGAGACTCTGTTTTTCTGCCATTTCATCCAAGATTCCTTCAAGCCATTCATACACATTTCTGTGAAAAAGGTGGGTTGTCCTACATCAAAACTTGCAAATCCACCATGGTCCTTCAAGCTTCTAAGAAAAAATTTATTCTAAAATTACAAATAATGTACTGTACAGTACATGACCCCCAGTCCAAAAATCAACATGAGGATACTGTACTATACAGTACAGTACAGTAGTTTCAAATTTGAGAGCCCATACATTAAAAGTTCCATAAAAACTGGTGCATAAGTTTTTGAAGATTATAACTTTTTCCATGTGGTGCCTTCACTCTGTCATCAGTGTTTACTGTCCCTTTCTCACTTATTTCTATAGATCCTGCTCTTGTTCTGCACTTATAATGATATCAATAAGCATCAAAGTGATAGTGCTGAGTGTAGTGGTGTGAAGAGGAAATATGTTACAGTGACCATTACAGAAACAGAAGAAATTGCAAAGAAATCAGATTAGGCAAATTAGTCCATTACCTGAAGAAGCAATAATTCTTTATATTATTAATTTTCAGCACTTGTCAGTAGCTTATTAGCCAGTCGGGCAGTTGGTAAGTTCTCTGCTACAGCTTTCACCGTCTAGTGTTGGTGAGAAAACCAGCAAAGTTTGGTAGGGTCATACTGGATAACACCATTCTCACATCTAAACCGAGAATTGAACCTAGGACACAATGGTGCGAGGCAAGGCCACTACCAACAACTCTATCACCAACACCCATATGATAAAAAATATTAACAAGAATCAATGTCAAAAACAAAGAAAGTTTTATGCCAAGAGAGATACAAATAGGGGCATTATGAAACACAGACGCTTGTATGAAGCTAAATCCCTAACCTTCACAGCCTTAGTTATGCCAGGTTTAAGCAATGCTGTAGTGATGGTGTACCTTGAAGGACATTTTGGGTCAGTGCAATTGATAAGTGTTTTTAAAATTTTATCTACTGTACTGTACATACAGTATAGTCTCGGTTTACGCGGTCAATTAAACCCGTGGAGGTCCGCGTAAATTGAGAAACGCGCAAACGAAATAACAGAACATATGGGATTAATTGAAATAGAGACTGGGCTGACCCCCAGACTACCCTTTTTCCGACACAATACGTACGTTGTAGTAAAAATAACATCTTAATTTTATGATGGTATGCACACACAATTAATATTTAAGAAAATATGAATAATATTAGGTTTTTTAACACTTACGTTAGTAGAAGAGATGGTTGGGCACACAGGGATAGGGGGTTGGTTCCGAGGCAGAGGGCAGATTATTGGCCCTCACCTGTATCACTTGTATCACTATCCACCACAGAGGCTTGCAGGGCCTCTTTGTCAAACCCCTCAAAGTCCATATCCTCACTATCACTATCACTGACTTGGGCCGGCTATGGTGGGTGGCGGGTGAAGAACTCGGTAATGTTTTGTTGACTGGGCGACCTAGTGCGCACCCAGCCCGCGCCGCTTCCCGCGTAAATAATGGAATGTGCCACGTAACTAATAATTGCCGGTCTGGCCAGGTGCCGTGTAAATGACCAAACGTGTAAAGGAAATCCACGTAAATTGAGACTATACTGTATTTAAAAATACATTATTACATACAAATACAGTAAAGTAGCATTTATTATCAACATCAGGTATGCAAAACATTGCTTTTAAAGTTATGAAATATTTGAACTTCATTCTAGGCTAAATATTACCACAGTGCTATACTGTACTGTATCTGTAAGCAAGAAATATTCACAATTCAAACACTGTTCAACCCTGGGGAAATTCAGACTGGAGATCTTGTACTGTATCAATACGAACTAAAAACAAGAATATTCAGTAATTAGAAATAAATAAAAATGACAAATTAAAAAATATTTTGAAAAGCTACAGTACAATATACTGTATGGTCCTATGACTCACTCAATGAACTAAAATCAAAGTCAATTTCCCTAAATGAAGCCAATGTTTACCCTAATGGAGGTTGTACGGTACAGTATAGGAAAAATAAGAGCTATGTGCTTGTATTCTGCCTATACATGTACAACCTTCATTTAGGGGCTCTGTTTCTTTCTAACTTCATTCTCATCACTTTCATTACGTCTGCCTATAGACTGGTTAATATATCAACTGGTGTAGTTTTAAATTTTTGGCTTGATTCTGTGTACTCTTGATAACCTTCTCCCTCAATTGCAAGAAGTCAGGTGCCATCAGCCTAATTTGATGAAGAATATCTTGGGCTTACTGTATATAAGAACTTGAAATATTTTAAAACACTGTAAAAGAGGATATGATAAATATATTATATATACAAATATTCAGACTCCATTTTTTGTTCTTACTTGTCTGGGTTTTTGTTGACAGCTGGGTGAGTCTTTATAACATGATCAACAAGGGCACCAGTTGCACTTTGTCCTCCTTCAGCACACCAATACCCAGGAATCATTGCACTGTAGTATGGCCCCCAAACACCATGTGCAAATATGGGATCCACACTCACACACATATGACATGTAGATGTTCCACAGATCAAGGCTGCAACAAATGATAGAATCAATTGGATAGATACAGAACTGTTAAGTATTTAAAATTTATAACTGCACAAATTATGTCTTCTGAAAATAAAACTTAAACTCCTGACAAAAAGTTACCGCTTGAACACCTCACTCCTCTCTACATCATCATCAACTGCAATATTGTAAATTATCTCTACCATCCTACTCTTCACTATTTGGTACTCTCTACTTGTCTTCGTGATCTCAATATATTTTCATCAATACACCTTTCCCAGGACTTCTATATTCCATACATACAGGTATTTTGCATATTTTCATTCCTCGTCCAAATACAGGTGTTCCTCTACTTACGAACGAGTTACGTTCCTGAGGCTGGTTTGTAAGTCCAACTTTACTCTTGTAGATACCAAACATATTGTAAAAAATGAAAAGATTATGGATATTTAGTACAGCTATACCCTTTAATACAGCCTTAAAACCTGGCTCACTCTTCTCCTCTTAGGTAATGTTTGTTCTATCTGGAATTTTCTTCAAAATAATCCAGTCTCATCCACATTAAACACCTGTTCTGACAGGTAACCCCCTTCAGTGGTGATGTTTGTATCTCTGAAAATTTGTAAGTTGAATGATCTTAAGTAGAAGAGCACCTGTACAGTATTTCCCTCAATTACAATAATATGATATACAGGGTACAGTAATTACTAATTTTTCCGGTTTTTAAAATGTCCTTTATAAAACTCTGGAAGCCGAGACTTCTTTAGGATATTTGCCATTTCATAATGAGCTTTTCCAGAACTACATAAACTTTCTTTACCTAATCTTCCAATAAGATCTTGTTTGGTTTTAGCCTCAGCAGCCACTAGAGCAATGCCTCCAGCATGAGCATCAATAACAGATGTTGCAACATGAGTGCTCTCACACAACCCCATCTCCAGAGCTGCTGCTGCTGATACTCTGCCACACTCAGTCCCAGGGGCCACCATTTCCTTCCCTGAGTGAGACAACCAGATACAGGATGTATGGCTTGCTGTTGCATGTTATAAAGAGAAAAAATAAAATTGCATGTACAGGGGTTCCCCGGGTTACAAACGGGTTCCGTTCCTGAGGACGTTCTTAAGTCGGAACACATGTTATGTGCATATCACAGCCTAAGTCCTTATATACATCTAAAATCACTTAATTTAAGGAAAAAGAAAAAATAGAATGACAAAATACAGTAATTGAAAGTAAAAAAAGTCATCAGGTAAATAAATACTGTACTCTAAATCTCAAGTTTATCCCTGTTCGTAAGTTGGACGTTTGTAAGTCAGGGACCCCCTGTAGGGCATGTACTGTACAAAAATAATTAAAAATGAACTCCCAATATATCAGACATATAAAATTTTTATCCTACCTAAAACAATTTACAGTATACAGTAGTACAGTACATGGTACAGTATATGTCTACTTTTACATTATATTTACTTCCCCTCTTGATAAATCCTGAACACTTTCCACAGCCTTCTTACAATTATTAAATCAATTAAATTAATGTTATTTTTATGTACTGTAGTATGAAAATAATTTCCTCTGTGCCTTTGATAAGTAAAATTTGATAAAACTCTTATTTTATAATTTCAATCTAAAAAAATATGAAGGTATATTTTTTTACAAATCTCTTCTTTAGACATGTTATTGGTTTTAGCATTCACAGAAAGGAAATATGATCTATTTCGTGAACAGAAATATATTAATATAAAGTCTGCAGTATTATTCTCTTATTATTACAGGTTGACAACCCTTTATCCGAAATTCCAAAACCCGAAAAGCTCTGAAAACCGAAAGTTTTTTGTGGAGCAATTTTTTTTTCCTTTTTTTTTCTTTTTTGGGTAACAGCCCACCCGGGCACAGGTCACTGACCCACATCGGGGCCTGGGGGGTGAAAATGTAATAGTAATAATAATTATAATAATAATAATGATAATACAGCAATAATAATAATAATTATTCATAGTAAATAAAATTGTTAATAAAAAATACACAAAAGTAAAATAAGAATGATAACAATAATAATAATAACAATAATACTGTACTGTAATAATAAAATAATAAATTAATAATAATAATAATAATAATAATAATAATAAAGAAATACAAGAATGAAAAAAAGATCAAAAGTGAGAAACACGACCTACAGTAGACCTACTGTATGAATTATTATTATTATTATTATTATTATTATTATTATATTTTACCCCCCAGGCCCCAGTGTGGGTCAGTGACCTGTGCCCGGGTGGGCTGATCCCTGCAAAAAAAAAAAAAAAAAAAAAAAAAAACCCTAACCTTTCTGAAAACCGAAAAATTCAAAAAACCGAAATGCATCTGGTCCCAAGGATTTCGGATAAGGGATTGTCAACCTGTATTAGCCAATTTGAGTCTAGTTAGAATTGACCCATACATACCAATTTTAACCCAATCATTATCAGCTAAGTCTTCCAATCCAATTGCTTTGAAAAAGTTGAGGTCCCATCCTTGAGTCTGACCATCACACATATATGTCCACTTGCACACCATGGAACATAATGACCTTTGGAAAGACCAAAAGTAAAATTCATCTTAAACTGTGAAAAGAAAAATATTGTTAGCAGCAAATTTAGAAGGGAGGCAAGAGATGATCAAAAGGCACAACAAAGACATTATAAAACATGAAGCTGAGTGAGAAAACATGGATGATAAAACAAAGTGAGCACATACATTATACGTGTACTGTATTTATATTGAGGAAAACAACAAAACTATTATGTGTACAGAAAATGACAACAGAATACTTCATTAATACAGTATACATTAGAGTAAATAAACAAATAGGCTATAAGGATGTTGGAAAAATACAATAAAGAACATTGGGACAGATGTGAGAAGGGTGTATCCAGTGTAACCCTACCAAAAATACCGGTTTTCTGTAGGTACTCCAGTGTCTTCCTGTACTAACATTAGACAAGGAAGGTCATAACAAAGAACAGGCCAACCTCCCAAACAACCAATAACCTGATTAGTATTGAAACAATTGTTTTAAAAATTAGATTACAGTATAGTCTGGATTTACGCAGATTTTGTTTACGCATTTGGTCATTTACGCGGTGCCTTGCCAGAATGAAATGTTTTAATTACGCGGTAAATTTCATCATTTACGCGGGAAGCGGCGCGGGCAGGGTGCGCACAAGGTCGCCCAGTCATCAAAACATCACCGAGTTCTTCACCCGCCACAGCCGGCCCAAGTCAGTGATAGTGATAGTGAGGATATGAATTTTGAGGGGTTTGACAAAGAGGCCCTGCAAGCCTTTGTGGTGGATAGTGATACAATTGATACAAGTGATACAGGTGAGGGCCAATAATCTGCCCTCTGCCTCGGAACCAACACCCCATCCCCGTGTGCCCAGCCATCTTTTCTACTAACGTAAGTGTAAAAAACCCTAATATTATTGATATTTCTCTTAAATATTAATTGTGTGTGCATACCATCATAAAATTAAGATGTTATTTTTACTACAACGTACGTATTGTGTCGGAAAAAGGGTAGTCTGGGGGTCGGCCCAGTCTCTATTTCTATTAATCCCATATGTTCTGTTATTTCGTTTACACAGACTTCCACGGGTTCAATTGACCGCGTAAATGCAGACTATACTGTATGTGAAAAAACTGATAGATCTCAATAAATCCAAAGCTTACTCTGTTTTTTGTATGTTTTAACACACACACACACACACACACACACACACACACACACACACACACACACTTACCTTGAAAACTGTCCTGTGGTTTTCAGGGTAAGGAAATCTGGCAAATCAAGGAAGTAGGCAGCCTTAGCCCAGGTGCTTTTCATGTGACTCTTTAGCCAAAGGAGTTTGGGAGTTTGCATTTCAAGGGACACTTTGCCTCCTACATATTTCAGTACACTGGAGAAAATAATATAAATAAATAAGATAAACACAGAAATTACATACAAGAAAGAACTAACAATTTACTTTTTCAACAGTAACAGAGAGGGGAGACGTGGTTTGAGAAGAAGGACTTCAAATATTGGCACTGATATTTTGTACTGGGTAAAAAATAACAGGAGAGATCTTCGTCTTTACATCCCTGACGTCCATTCAAAATGTATACGCCCCTCAACTCCCCCTCTCCCCTATTGGAATTTCTAAGTGGTGCAACTAAAATTTTCAGTGGCCTCAGGACATCAAGACCTGAGAAGGGTACAGATAGTTAGACACTCCAATATGTATAAAGGACAATTTTGTTTGTGTATCACTGCCTCTTTCAATTGTATAATCAAAAAATTCTAAATTAATACTTACTTGTGATCATGAGAATTTATGAAGTCAGCTTGTTCTTTTGCTCTATGATCCATCCACATCATGATATTAAATCTGTCTTCTCCTGAAACAGAATTAATATAAGCTGAAAAAAGCTTTTTTCTTTTGCATATTGTCTTCCTTCATTTCATTCACACCATTAATGGGACATATTCTGGCCAATTTATTCCTGCAAACCTGCAGTGTGCTGTCATATAGGACAAAACCAAAGCAGACATGAGGAACAGATAGGTTAGGTTAAAAGGAAGGAAGACCGAGTAAGTTAAATCAAGTTACAGTAAGTGTGTGAAATGGTTCTCAGTCAGTGTTGGTATCCATTTGAACTGAACTATGTATGGTGTATGAGGAGTACAGTACAGTAATTCAGTGGATTTTCATAATAACAACCATCAGTAAATAAAGTTTCCTTGTAAGAAAAGTGAAGAAGTACCGTACAGTATATAATAAAAAAAAACAAGTTTGATACAACGAGTTATAACACTTTTAGTTGTATTTAATATGAAAGCAATAAAAAAAACTTTTTAAACTTTACTCTCTTCTTTGGCAAAGTTCTTACCAGTAGCAGGACTGACAGTAACAGGGTCCAAGTCCTTATCCAACACTACCAGGGAACATGTAGCATCAAACCCCACACCGTGAATCTGGGTCTTGTCTTTAATATCACAAGTTACATCCTGAAGAAACAGTATTTGTTTCAAGAATAAAGAAATATTTGTCAGACAAAGTCAATATTGTACATGTATTAGCATAAATACTCCAAAGAATCTAACTTCATACCATTTTTCAGCACAGTACAATCTATGACCTATACAACATACAAAACTATTCATCATGTAATAATAAGAATACCTTTACTGACTGACAGACAGCTTGCCATATTTCTCCAGAGTCTTGCTCATAAAAATCAGGATTAGAATTGTTGACAGTGATGGGGACGGTGTGAATCTTTAGGATGGCTCCATGCTGTTGGACCAGAGCTGCACGGACACTGCTTGTACCAACATCCACTCCAACATAATATATGTCTGCCATGATTAAACTGCAAGTACATTTATAAATGTTAATTACAATTCTTTTCCCTCTTATGTACACATGTTTCTGGTGCGGTATTCAAACAATTGAGAGAAGCTGTACAGTACACCTTAAGAAGACTGTTTTATATCTTTAGAGCACTTCGGAATCCTCTACATAATCACTTATTGAAAATTACAGTAATTTCATAGGAAATCAGTGTCCTTCATCTGTGGAATTACTGAACATTTTAAATTACAGAACATATCCTTGCTTGAAGCAAATCTTAAGCTTAAAATTAGATATTTACTACTTTATAAATTCTGATAAGATATTCACATTACTGTACTATACAACTATCAAACAAAAATTTAAGTACTGTACAACCATTTATGAACTTGACACAATGACAATGAATTTTTTTTGTACTGTTCTTGCTTCAAAAAGCACCTGGATTTCTCATTTAGTTATGAAGTAAGAGAAGTCACAAGTTGATTAGAGGCCAGCTTATTTCATCTAAACATTAACCATCCCAATGCTAACCTATCCAAACCTAAACCCCCCAGCAGCATTAGGGATTTAGGGGATTCAATCATCAAGTAAAATTAGTTGGAAGGTTAACCTTCATGTGATCCAATAAAATTTTTAAAGGAATATTAGAAGGCAGGCAGGGGAGGGGTACCCCAGCAGAGGTACAAGGGATATTAATATACTGTACTGTAATTATTACTATTTTATAAGACAGGGAAACTGGCAAACTTTTCTTACTGTACAGTACAGCACTGGCACAATAATCTCTATATAGTACAGTACAGCATTTTTATTTCAAATGGAAAATCAGTTGATTCAGTTTGAAATTAACAAACAAATACAAAACAATAAAAAAAAAACATGATAGCTTAGCTGCCAGATAAAGGTTAATCTCAGGTATGCCATTCCATAATTGGAGATTTTCAGTTGAAATATCAGAGATACATCAATGATCCTGTTCAAGTTCATATTCCATTGGAAGACTAGTATAAAGTACAATATTCTTAAGTTTCCTATCCTACCTACAGCTGCATATAAATCATTATCAACACTGTTTTACAGCCATTATATGTGTTTGTGTGTGTGTGTGTTAGCCGTGATTACCTGATGGCATGGTATGTCAGTTGCCATCAGGTAAATTTTCCTATGAGTAACACAGTATTCAGATTACAGCACAGTACATAAAGATTCCCCCCCCCCCCAGCTAATTTCACCCGATGATTAAACACCCTAATGCTCTCTGGGGGCAGATTAGGTTCAGTTAAGTTAGTGATAGGGTGTTTAATGATAAGGTGAAATAAGACTGGTGTTTAATATTCATGCACTCCAATTGTACTAATTAGTAATTTAAATACTGTATTAATACAAGATACATTCTAAATTCATCCCAGTCTCGCTACAGCTACCATAAAGGAAACACTATGAAAACTACTGTACTGTATGCTTAATGTGTGTCCAGTAATAACAAGAAACACCAAGTTCAAGTTAACCTGCCAGAAGAGAAGTAATTGTGCACAATACCAGTAAGGTGTATCAGTTCAAACAAACTTGTTACTAAAGAGCCATACAGTATTCTGATAAAACAGATAATAAGTTATGAGTCTAAGATTACAAGACAGATAACATGGATCTTAATGAGGCCGACATTTGAGTTTAATTGCAAGAATTAAGATACTGTACAGTATGTATTTATACTATGAGTGTACAGTAAAAAGACCCTCTACAACATTGCTCTTCACTACTGGTGTGTTTTAATTATTTTAAGTATTATTTAGGCCTTTAATTTTCATAGTCATATAAAACTTGGTGGTACAGTTGTTGTATGCTTGCCTCTAATCAGTGTATCCTGGGTTCAATCCTTGGGCAAGATGTGAGAAGGGTTTATCCAGTGCGACCCTACCCAATCATGCCAGGTTTTCTCAAGGTACAGGGTATTCCAGTTTCCTTCTGTACTAACACTGGACAATAAATGACAAACTCATCAAGAACAATGGAATATTAAACAAACCACTGACATCCTTTCCCCATCAAAGTGGCAATATAATTATCTGTAATAATGGAAGTTATAAATAAAACCTAAGTACAATACTGTACAACTTGTGCACTTTTATAAAATAAATATTTATACAAAGGAATATTTTGCATAATTTTGTAAAGTTAGATGGTCAGCATGGACTGTAAACAGAAAGTATAAAACCTTAGGGCAGATTTCATTGAAAAATGAAAAATCCTGAAAGAGATGGAAAACGTGAACCCGGGACATTTCCTTGTGATGTCAGGCACCACCAACATGACGGGACATATATACAAGCTAGCCAAGTTATCATGTTAAACAAATAGAGGGAAATACTTTTTCACACAGTGGGTGGTAGACCTAAGGAACCATCTACCAGCCCAAGCTGTGGAATCAAGAAGAGTACTGGGTCAATTTATAGTAGTGCACCGGTCTTTCTTTTGATATTAGAAACATGTTTCTCCTTTGGTATTTGATGAGTTACGAATGAATTTGATATTGATTTCCGCCGGAAATCATTAGTTTTCGAGAGTCCCCCCTCCCCCACACCCAACACTCTTAACGGAAAAGTTAGATTTTTTTTTTCCAGTAAATCACATAACCAACCAGCAACCCCTTCCCCCCCACCCTTTGTTCATGCCCCACATCTTACCATAATCTGAAGAAGAATCAGGTTGGACAAAGAATGTTATTTGGTATTGCCAATAAGAAACTCCCACACCACCCCCGCACATGCACTGTAAACCCTTAAAAAGCAAAGACAGAGGTAAGGAGTACTGCGTGTGGGGGGGCAGATCTTCTCCGCAAAAAATAAACAACACATGGAGACACTTGTGACTGAGCAAATCTAATACAGTTGAGTCTGGATTTATGCTGTTTTTGTTTACGCGTTTTGTCATTTACGCGGTGCCTTGCCAGAATTGAAATGCTTTAATTACGCGGTAAATTTGGTCATTTACTATCGGAGAGCAGCTGGCGGTCCTGCAGCGTCACGCCATTTTGGATTCAAACCTCCCGCCATGTTTGACCAAAGCGGGGGTATGTCGTAAGGTATGTCGCTGTTGCGTTATCGGTGACGTCATATGACGTATCGGACTGTGATTGGGCCACGCATCCTTACCTCCCTCCACCGCTAGCTGTGATTGGTTTAATGTAATATGACGTGCCCTGCCACGGGAGGGAAGAAGCTGCTGACCTACCCGCGTCAGTCACTCTCCTCCCAGTCACTCAGTTTAAACTGTGTTCTATTGTGCCCGCTAATCTCGTAAGAATGGCTTCCGCTGGACCCCCACCACCACAGAAAAACCTTGCATTACCTGGACCCAGCCGCCCCAAGCCGAAAAGGATACGACGTTCCCTAAGTTACGAAGTTAAGTACAAGATCGTACAATATTTAGAAAAAGGAACGAGACAAGTTGATTTGGCGTGCCAGCATGGCGTGAACGAATCTACGATCCGCACGATCAAGAAGGATGCCGCCAAGATAAAAGAACACGTGAACATCACAAAGTCTGCAGGTGCTTCAATGGTGAAGTACTGTCAGAACAAGGTGCTGCTCAAAACTGAGAATTTACTTGTGAGCTACTTGATTCGTCAGGCAAGACAGAACATGGCGGTGGACACGCGGTCAGTTCAGGACTACGCACGTGAACTGTACGTAGCAGTGGCACGTAAGATGGGAATTGCAGAGCTCAAACCCTTCAATGCTTCCTCTGCGTGGCTGCAAGGGTTTAAGAAGAGGAACAAGATCACCAACATTAACATTGGTGGTGAAGGTGCGAGTGCTGACCGTGTTGCGGCTAGTGATTTTCCTCCATTCTTACGTGACATTATGGAGGAAGTACAATACACTGACGACCAGGCATTCAACATGGATGAATCCGGTCTGTTTTGGAAAAAAGCTACCTAGCAAGACCTTCGTTGTCAAGTCTGCCAGCAAGTGTCGGGGCCGGAAGTTGCAGAAGGAGCGCATCACCGTCCTGTTTACCACCAATGCCTCCGGTACTTATAAGCTCAAGTTATCGGTGATCCACAGAGCACGCAAGCTGCACGCCTACAAGAACATGGACATGACCAAGCTAAATGTCCACTGGCTAACCGCACGTAAGGCGTGCATGTTCACTGCTCTGTCCCTCTCCTGGTTTGACGACTGTTTCGTTCCCGACGTCAAGAAATTTTGCGAGCAACAGAATGTTCCATTCAACATTTTGTTGCTCCTTGACAACAAAGCAGGACTCTCGCCTCTACTGTTGGATCGTCACCCCAACGTAAAAGTGGTCTTCCTTCCTCCCAACACTACGTCGTTAATCCAGCCCATGGACCAGGAGTTGATATGCAACGTCAAGGCTGCATTCTTTACAAAGAAGTTTAAGCTCCTGAACGACTGTACCAACACCAAGGATGAGTTGCGTAACCTGGGTGACACCGATAGCGATAGCCAGAGCGACGACGAGGAACAAGAGTTGGCGGATCAAGAGGTTCGTGTCAAACAGTTTTGGAAGAAATTTAATTTCAAGAAAGTTGTTGATTTCTTGGTGGAGGCATGGGAGCAGCTGTCTGTGGCAACGATTCGTCACGCAAGGCGGCATGTGTTGCAAGGTATCCCAGGTGGGAGGCAGAGTCAACCTGTGACTGGTGAGGTTCAGTCTGTTGCAGTGGCAGTGGACCTTGCAAGAGAAGCTGCGCAGAGTGTTACAGCTGCAGGCTTCTCCGAGACCACCAACGACGACATTATGGAGGTGATAAGGAATCCTGAGGTGACTGCCGACGAGATGTTAGAAGACGATGACGTCAGTGAAGAGGCAGGTGGTGCGTCATCCCGAGAAGAACACAAGTTAACGCATGGTAATGTTAAGGATGCCATCGAGTTTGCAGAGAAAATCAAGCTCGTCCTTTCCAACGACCCTGATGATCACCGCTATGAAGTCTTCAATAACCAGCTGTTGCAAACTATGGGGCCGTACATCCAGATGTATCACGACAACATCAACACTAGCCGTCAGCGCAACATCACGGACTTCTTCCCCCGCAACCCACCACAGCCAGCCAGCCCAAGCCAGTGATAGTGACAGTGATGCTATGGACTTTGAGGGATTTGTCAGGGAGGCCCTGACAACTATGGTGGATAGTGATGGTGATTCACCTGAGGGCCAGCAATCTGCCCTCTGCCTCGGAACCAGCCCCCATCAACGTATGCCGACCCATCTCTTCTACTAACGTAAGAGTTAAACCTAACCTAACCTTGATTTTTTCTAAACTAACCTAACGTAAGTGTTAAACCTTGATTTTTTCTAACCTAACCTTACATAAGTGTTAAACCTTGATTTTTTCTAAACTAACGTAAGTGTTAAACCTTGATTTTTTTTTTACCTGGTACAGTATAGTATTCTCTTATTGATATTTCTCTTCTATATTATGTGTGTGTGCATACCATCATAAAGTTAAGATACTATTTTTACTACAACGTACGTATTGTATCTCAAAAAGTGGAGTTTGGGGATCTGCCTGGTCTCTATTTCAATTAATCCCATTTACGTGTTTATCGTTTTACACGGTATTCCACGGGTTCAATTGACCGCGTAAATGAAGACCCAACTGTAATATTGAAAAAGTAATATCTCGGTTATCCTTAATTTCCAGCGCAAAAATCATAGAAGAAAAATGTCTTAGAATTGTCTAAACATTATGAAATACATATTAATAACAGCAAGATAAAGACCGGTGTATTACTATAAATTCACCCAGTACTGTATTACTGTGCTTCATTATAGCCCTTAATAAAATTGGAATTAAGAACAATAGTGATCCTATAAAGGCCACTGGCATCCTTCCCTCGGTATGGCCACTTCTAGTGGGTGGCCATTTAGTAAATAAGTAACCTTACCTGTACCTCCAGGTGAGTGAATGATTCTACCACACACACATTATTCCTATTTTCTGGCTGTCAACACCATTATAACTGCTACTTCGGTTAAGGCTGTTTTGACGAACACAGACAGTCAGACTTAGTGCCCTGTTGTTATGTATTTAGTGCAACGCATGTGATTGGCTGAACAAAAGTTGTGTACACCAATCACAGGTCTTCCTACAATAAGGTTTGTTTACACCTGCAGGCTCGGCCAGGCTGGTTGACAACACCGCGGACTACGACAACAAAACTTATATGTCATTAAAACGGTTCCTTAAACGGTTACCATTGATCGAGATAGGTTTTAACAAAAATATTATCTAAACTTAGTTAAACATGATTCTGACCCTTACACTACAATTTAATATTTTACTTTGCTAAGACCAGTAGATTCACATTAGTAGCAGTAACAGGACAGGCATTAGTTGTAATAGAGAAATCAATAATAACGAGGAGCACAGATTAGTCTCATTTACTTTACTTTTTTATTTTTATCCTCTTCGCCACTGATCGGCTCGTTAGCCGCTTGGGCGATCGATCACGTCTCTGATTACTTTTCCTTTTCATTTATCCTCTTCACCAAAAGATCGGCTCGCTAGCCGCCCAGGCGATCGGTCACGTCTCTGTCACGCACTGTTGGCAAGTACTGGGCATGCACCGGCTCCTGGATGTACCTGAACCCGCTCCAGTGTTGGTCAAGTCTTGTCTTGAAAGAGCTCACACTCGGTGCCGTCACAACACTCTCTGGTAGATTGTTCCAAGAGTTTACAACCCTCACTCCGAAAAAGTTTGCCCTCACAGTTTTCTGGACTTGCGGCTTCTTCAATCTTGAGCTGTGACCCCTTGTGGGGCGAGCGTCCTCCAGCTCCAAGTAAGGACTCTCGACTGAGTAGTGCCCCCTGAGATGCTTATACACCTCAACTAGGTCTCCCCTTGCCCGTCTGTAATATAAGCTAGGCAAGTTCAGGCGCTCCAATCTCTCAGGGTAGCTGAGGTGCCGAAGTGCAGGCACCAGTCTGGTGGCCCTCCTTTGAACATTTTCAACCAACTGACAGTCCCTAGCATATCTCGGGGACCAGATGGGGTGACAGTACTCCAGATGGGGAAGCACTTCACGCTTGAAGATCGTTACGAAGGACGGACCGTCTAGATAGCTGAACGACCTTCTTATAAGACCCAATAATTTAT